CGCGGCGGCATCTGGCGCAGAGGCGGCCCCGACGTGCTCGCACTTGCAATTCGCACCGAAGCGGCGCGAACCATCCAGAGCAAACATCTGGCAGATCTCACCGGAGCGGACCTGCGGCGTCGCTTGCGCCTTGGCCTTCGCAGCGGCGGCGGCTGCGGCTGCGGCTGCGGCGGCCTTGGCGGGGGCGGCCTTCTGAGGCAGCTTCATCAAGTCGCCCCTCACTTGTCCGCGCTGTCGCCGCGCGATCTCCCGCCGCGCGGCGTTGCAGAGGAACGCGGAAGTGCGGGTCGCGGCGCCCTCCTCGGCGGCGTCATGGGCCACGAAAGCGGGCTCCAACCCCTTGCACTTCCGGAGCTGGCACTCGAGGAGCGAGCACAGCATTTCTTCGTCCGGCACCTTGGCCAAGGCCATCAAGGCGTAGTCCCAGGCATTCAAGAAGCCCTCGAGGTCCCCTCCGAACCGGAGGCCCACCAAGGTGGTGAGGTCGACGCTCATCGCCTGACCGCGCTCGATTGTGCACCTGTAATACGCCATGCACGGCGCACAGCGGCCGGGGAGCGGCAAGCCCATCTTCGACCGCTCCTCGCGGTAGATCAGCAGCTCACGCTTCAAGTTGCTGGCGGCGATGGCCAAGACGGCCTCGGCGAGCGCGGAGTCGAGATCGCCCAACCTCTTCTGCTTCTGCCAACGCCTCGAGCTCCGAGATGTCGTTGACGGTCTCGATGCGCTGCATCCACCGCATTGTGCGGCGCTTGCTCGCTGCGTTCACCTTCGCGCACGCGCCCTGCACCCACTCCCGAAAGCCCACGGCAGAGAGCAGCGGGCCCAACATCAAGGACTTCACCGCACCTTTCCGCCTGCGGATGTCGTCCTCTGTCGAACTCGACGAGCTCGGGGGTGACCTCTTACTCCTCCTGCACTTCCGGCTGCGGCGCGCGCCGGAGGCCCCGGGCGTGCTAGGCGGCGAGGTCGCCACCGCCAGCGCCGCCGTCACCGCCAGGGCGGCGAGGGCCCTGAAGCCCAGGAGGGAGGTCAGGCTGAGCTGCGAGCGCCTGCGCTGCGGACGGGCGCCGCTGCAACTGGGTCGGGAGCCGCTGGACTGGCTCGGACCGCACGCTGCCACCGGCGCCAGGGCGGTCTGGCGGGCCGCCTCCGCCGGGAGCGCCGGCGGCCGCGATGCGAGCCCTCAAGGTGGCCCGGGCCCCATGGCCAGGAAGCACGCCGCGATTCGGGCCAGGGCGCGGCTGCGCGCGCAGCGCTGGCGCCGGCTCAGACGCGGCCGCCGCGCCCAGCTGCGGCGCGGCCAACGGCCGCGAGGGCGCGGCTGTGGAAGTGCTGCGGCTGCGCGAGGACGCCGTCCGCAGCGACGAAACGCCCCGTCAGGCGGTCAGGCTGCTGTTGCAACGGCGCCGAAGGAGGCTCGGAGAGCACTGGAATGTGCTGCGGCGGCTGCACCCGCCGCTCCTCAGCCACAGATGCACATGCTTCCAGCTCTCAACCTCCTGCTCGAGGATGTCAACACGCTGCTGCAGCGCGGTCTGCACCTCGAGCGGCTCGCCGCGCTGCGCCTCAGCCGTGGCTGCGAAGTCATTGGCCCATTGCTGGACTCGGTCTCTCAGCGCATGCACGCGCTGCTCGGACTCGGTGGGCCGAGAATGGAGCACCGTGACCTGCGCCTCCAGCCCTGCCGCGGGGTCGGCCCAGAGTTTCGCCTGCTCCTGCTGAACCTCCAGATTGGCAATCTGGGCTTCGTATTGGCGAAGCTGCAGCCTTGTGCGGCCCTCGAAGCCGACGAACGCCTGCTGCGTGGAGGACTCGAGCTGCGCCGCTGCGGCGGCGCGTTGCTGAGCCTCAGCGGCCTGCGCCTGCGACTGCTGCTCTGCCCTGGAAGCCGCGGCCCCCAGTTCGCCCGCGGCGGCCAGGCGCGAGGAAACCGTGGAGACCACTGCGCTGAGCTCCACGCGCTGCGCCTCGAGGTTCCGGAGCGCCTCAGCATGGATCGCATCGCACTCCTCGCGGCGCCTCTGGTCAGCAGCGGCGCATGCAGCAGACTCCGCGGCCAGGAGGCCGGCAAGCTGCTGGCGGTCCGTCGCCGCCATCTGCTGCTCTGCCGCACGGAGCTCGCGCGAGCTCACCGCCAGTCTCTCGCGGCACTCGTGTTGGGCCGCGGCGGTCGCCTCGTCCAACCAGCGCTGCACGAGCCCGCTCTCAGACCGGAAGTCTGCGTATGCATGGGCGCTGAGAGCCTCCGTGCGTTCCAGAAGAGCCACTCCCAGACGCTCAGTCAACGCTGCTTCTTTCGCCTGGAACTCAGACTCGAGGATCGCCGTCTGGGTCTCGAACGCCGCATGCTGGTCAATGATGCGGCCCAGCTCGCCGGTGAGGTCGAGCCCTACAGCGCTGGGCCCTCATCATCCGCGCCAGCGCACAGCAGCGAGCGGCTGCGGTCCGCCCGCGACGCATCAGCGACGGGCGCAGCGGCCGAAGGCGCAGGCGCGGCCTGCGACGAGGCACCGCGACCGGATGTGCCTCCCACGCCGCGGCCGCGGAGGGGCCAGACGGGCCGATGCGCCGGCCGCGGGCGAGGCGGCGGCATGCTGGCCGCAGCCTGCGCGAAAACCGCGGGGAGCACCAGGCCGAGGTCCTCGTCCACAGCATCGGCGAGCGGGATCATCTCGCCAAGGTTGTTGGGATTTCCAGTCGCCATGGTCTCGAAGAGCTTTCGGCTGATAACCTGTTGATTGCGGTTTAGTCTATCTCTGTCTTCTGTGGGTGTGGAGGGGGAGCAGACGCTGAGCTCGTCCTCCTCCTCTGGCAATGCTGGACTCCCGGCCAGGCGGTATCCCTCCTCAAGGGTGTACCCCAGGCTGAGTCGACGCAGGAAGCGAATCAGGTGAATCGCCTCCCGAACAGGGATCGCGAGGGGGGCCCTCTGGCGCCACGGATGCACCCGACCCGGCCGCGCCGCCACCAGCAAGGCACGCACGGAGGCAGGGAAGCGAGCACGGGCACGACGCGTTGCCGCAGCTGTGCCAATGCTCCCATTGCCCCGGGGCGTACTTTTGTTTCTCTGGCGCGCGCCCATGGTTCTTGAGCCGAGGTCGGTCACGGAAGCCCTTGCAACATTGCATTCTAGGCTCAGCTACATTGCTGCTGGAACTCCCAGACGCGTTACCGCAGCCGGGGAGGGCCAACTAATGACTATGTTGTCCCGGCCCCGCTCCCAGGACACGGTTTGTACCCGCGGGGAAAATAAATCGCACCCGGAGTAAAATTAACAGACGTGATTCACAGGAGCTAACCTACTTGTGCTTCTACCACAAAGTGAAATCTTACAAGTGCAACTCGCGAAGCGAGCTTGAATAGACTACAAATTGTGGAGAACAGAATGACAAATTGCCCCCAGAATGATCTTGGCAAGTCGCGCTGCTGCGCGCCGGCGTGCCAGCAACTTGTCGCACCTGCCTTTACACAGCTCGCACCAGCTCGCTGCTCGCACCAGCAACTTCTCTTCTCGCACGGGCATCACTTCTTCTCGCACGGGCATCTCTTTGCCAGCCACGGAAGCGCTCACAGATAGCCACAGGCATGGCGTTTGAGGAGAATTACAAGTATACCCCCGAAGTGGCGACACGCCGGCGTTCACCCGGCTAGCGAGGAATTTAGAAGTATACCAATAATCAGCAATTACATGTTACATACGTGACGAGCCGGAAACTCCAGAAAAATACAAGGACGTGTGGCAGTTTTTACACACCCTCGCCTCCTGCGTCGGCCCTGGCTCCCCATCAACATGCACATCCGCGTTGTCCATGGAAGCCGTGGGCGGAGGTTGCGGCGGCACGAGGACTGAGAACGCCTGCCCACAGCTCCTACAGCGATCATGAAGGTTCGGAGCTGGGGCGTGGGTGCCGTAGCACGGGCAGGCCACATGCTGGCAGACAGGCAGAGCGGCGGCAGCTGGTGGGGCTCCGATGGAACCTGCCTGGGCGAGAAAAGCAGGCAGCGAGGGATCAGAAGAAGAGCCCAGTGCAGGTGTAGATGGTGCCGTTGGAAAGGACGTCACTGCGCCTGGCGCAGGGATCCCGGTGAGCAACGTGGCCGGCCCACCTCCCCGAAGTCGCAGTAGCAGCTGTAAAAAAGCTTCGCGTTGGATGTGGTAGCCCGCCAGCGGGCAATTGTCCTCTAACTGGTGGCCTACGAACTGCAGGCGTTGCTGGTCTGGGGGGACACCTTCGACGTATTGCATATGTATCTTCACGCTGTCGTTCGAGTCATTGGCCGCCACATCGAGGGAAATGGTAGGCCCCCGAATCGTCCGCACGAATATTTGCATGTTGGTGTCAGTGCTGGCGTCGATACTGGAGTCGGGGCTGGCGTCGATGCTGCTCGCGACGGTGCCCGAGTCGGTGCCAGCATGGGTGCCGGCGTCGATGCTGCTGGCACCCCAGTCGGCGCCGTCGTCGATGCTGCTGCCATCGGTGTCGGGGTCGGTGCTGCTGACGTCGGCGCCGATGTCAGTACCAGTGTCTATGTCAGCATCGATGGTATCGTCGGTGATGTCGTCGATGCTGCTGGCGACGCCGTGGTCGTCGTAGCCGAGCTCCCCGAAATTATCCTAGAAGATCGTGGCGTGCAGCACGAAGATGGCGACATGCTCCATGAAGTGCTCCCCGAACTGCTCCACAAAGATCTGCGCGTGCAGCACGACGATCGCGAAGTATTCCACGAAGATCGTGAAATAGGTGCCGCCGTGAGCGAAGTCGTGTACGAGAGGCTCGGCCCTGCGCGCGACTGCAGCCAGGGGGCGGAGCAGTCATGGCTGTGTTCGCGAGGGCAGGAATCGGAAATACCCCAGTTTACCCGCCAACGCGAGCACAAGGGGGGGAAGCGCCCGCGCGTCGCGGGTAGGCCAACTATTGCAAACTATTGCTTGAGCCACCTTGAGCAAGCCCTTCGTTTCGTTCGCCACCGCCCTGTGCCCTCCCATCGCCCTGTGCCTCCACGCCCTCCGCAGCGAAGCTCTCCATGAGGACCACGCCGGGCCTGAGAGCCTCGAGGGGAGTAGCAAACGAGAGCACTTGCGAAGAGACGCTGGGATGAGAGGCAGTGATCGGCGCAGTTGAAAAGTTGCTCCGCGGCGGGGCTTCTCAGCAGCCCGCTGGCCTTCTCAGACGCCACCTGTAGATTCGGAGCAAACTCCGAAGACTTCTGAGAAGGCCAGAGGGCTTCCGAGCCCTCGGAGGAGGCCCGCCCCCTCCCGTGCCTTCCCCCCCGCGCGCGCCGCCGAAGAGCTGGCAAAAGTGAAGAATCGAGCACGGGATGTGGGAAGCAGACTCGTGCTGGCGCGTTCGGGCGGAGCGGCTCGAAGACACCGTCCGGGACGGGGAAACGACAGGGAAACGTCAGGCATCGTCTCGGCAGCACCTCCAGACCTGCGCGCACAGCTGCCGCCTTCTGCTCCGATATGCCACTGCCACGCCGCGCAGCCGTGTGCTGCCATCGTCCCTTCCTCCCTCCCTCCCTATCCCGTCCCCTCCTTCCCCCCCGGTCTTGCTCAGTTCCTGCAGCATGGCGCGCGCGATCTTCGCTCACTGCAGGATCTGAGCTGAGCCAGCCCCAGAAGCCGCGCGATCGGATCGGCAAGCACACTGGTCCTGGAAGCGGCGAGGCTCTGCCACCAGAGCCTCCTGCCCAATTCTGTACGCGTTCTGGTTCCCAAACCCAGACCTTCGTTCTTTGCTCAACTGCTTTGTAAGGGGCCCCATTCGACCCCGATGAGGTTCCACAGCAATGCAAGGCAACGCACTACAAATCTGAACATCCCAGGGAGAAAGGGAAAGAAAAAATGGAGATCACTTGGATACTTCAGCAAAGTGAAGCAAAGCGAAACGACTCAAGGAGGACAAGCTAACGCAGAGTACAGCAGCGCGAAGCGAAACGAAGCGGCTCAAGACAAAGAAGAGCACGGCAAAACGACGCAATGCAAATATACACAATGAAAAGCAATTCAAAGCAATGAAAAGCAACGAAAACAATGCACACCGACGCAAAGTAGTGCAAAGCAGCGCAAAGCAATGCAAAGCAACGCAGGGTAATGCTAAAGCAGTGTAAAGCAATGAAGTGGAAAGCAAAGCAACGCAATGCAAAGAAATGGCCGAACAACCCCGAAGAACTCCAAGGCATCCTGGCAGGGAGGAGGGCTACAGACGTGGCAATGGCCGAGGACCTACAAGGAACCCCCTAGGCATCCGGCGGGCTACCGCCACCCGCCCTCTTGTGCAAAAAAACACTGCCAAAACCGACTTGGGGAAGAAAAGTGAGAGCGACCACAGAGCTTCACTGGACTCGGCCTCGACCGCTGTGCGAATCAGAATGTCGCCAGGCAAACTTGGAACACCAGGCGAGTCGACCTAGGCAAACTGTGTCATTGTGACTTCAATTCGTGCTTCGAACTCCTCATAGGTTCTGGGGACCTCATGCCATTGAAAGGCTCTGCTCAGCCCGGCACTCTGGCGTCGTCCGAAACCGGAAAAAAATATGATTCGGCCATCGGGGAACCAATGCTCTTCAAAAGTGTTGGGCCTCCAGGCTTTCTGAGGAGGCCACACAAAGTCCATGGCCGTATTGACAGGTTCGACGATGGTACCCAAGAATCTTCTGAGGACTCAAGGACGACCCAAGACCCGACGCATTCTAACTAGACTCTAGGCCCCAGTGCGATCCAAGTTGTCCGCACTAGATTGCATGAAGCGGGCCACATTAAGAAAGTTATGTGCTTTCACATGACTTCCCATATCGTCCATCTCCACTACGAAGCACCGAACCTGAAAAACACTGACTTGGACCGAACGAAAAGATTCCAGGAGATCGACAAGAGTCAAATCAAGCCTGCAGCAGGTCTTCGGAAACGTCCCTTGGAGCCCCGCCGAAGGGAGGCGGATTCAAACCACAGATTGCCTCAAGAAAGCTCCAACACCAGCAGGTCCCAAGATGGATCAATTAGAAATATCCGAAAACGAATCAGCGTACGATCAGAGGCCCAGCGTCGACACCAAATGGGCTCAACAACTGACAAAGAAGACCAAAGTACAAGATGTTCGGAAGAAGTGGGTTGAAACATTAATTAGATTTAGATTCGGCCCGCCTCCGAAAAGAAAAACACATGTAAGCCCCTCATACTGCCGACATACGGAAGCGTTCAAAGTCGCACGGGATCTGGGAACGTGAGTTCAACGAACGGCCTGTACCCAAAAGGGCTCGAATCATCAAGTACATCTAAATTCAGCTTGCGTCGCGCGCTGCTCCATCGACGCAGTGTTGATTGCGACGGTGAGGCCCCAGCAGTCCCAGGCCGCACCGAGATCTTCCAAGACCAGATCAACAAGAAACGCAAACTATTCACATCAGGCTTGCAGATTAATGCGCCCGAGGCTCGGAGGCTGCCGGCAGTGGCGAAAGACTTGAGCACTTTCGATACCACGTTCAGACACAGACCCATCAATCCAAACGTAGAGCGCGTGCTCAAATGCCCGCTCCATCAAATTACAAGCGCAACTCTACCAAAGTGAAAGCCTCAATCGCGTCAAGGCATCCTCGACAGCTTGCCATGCAATTGAACTGGCTCGGCTCGCTGACCGCCCAGCCAGAGCGTTCTGCGATCCGCGCTGGCGCGGCGACTCGTAGACAAGAGGTCGGTCTTTCCCACACACACACACACACACACCCCTCTGATATCGCGTAGACGAATCGGCCGTCATCAGATGCCCGCACGCCCCCCCCCACACATGATGGCCGAACTGATAGTTCCACTGGCACCCCACACACGCTCACCGAACTTGGCTTGATCAGCCGCCCGCATCATGCTTTCCACAGGTGTACTGGAGCATTTCCCGTCAGAGCTCGGACAGACTGACTCTGCACACTGTGGCTGCACATTCCAAATCGCAAACGACACACCTGGACAGATTTTGTCTGGACACATCTTAATCACAGCAAGGAGAATCGAGCCTCCAGCTCTTGGAACACCTTGTCGCCGCCCTTCGCGCTGTTGTAGCCGGCAACACCAATTAACCGCAAGGATCGCCCTGCATGGCGAACAGACTGCATCCGATGGATCCCGGCAGCGGGCGCCCACCGAGGCTACAGCATTTGAATAGAACCACTAAGACAGGCGAAGCGACCGCCGGGAAGCTCGCATACATCACGAGATCACAACGAGAGCGTGCGCACCGCCAATCTCCATCAAAACCCTCGATGAAAGCAAACCAAGCTTCAATCGCGTCAAAACCGCACGCTTGCGGTGCAACTGGACAACTCGTTCGGCGCCGCTGGCAGACGCGCAAATTCGTCCCACGGAACCTGTCCCCAAATGCAGACGTGAACACACGCGCGCCTGCAAAAACCTGTAAACACTCTGGCTCTGAACACGGCGACGCTTCCAGCCAATGCAACGCAAATTGCCCTCCGCCCCCTCCCTCCACAGAGAAAAACATGCACACGGACACAGAAACATGATCGAGCAAGAACGGGGAGCGCCGAGCCAGAACGGGGAGCGCCGATATTGCCTTTTGGGCTCGTAGGGGGGGCAGGAAGAGAACGATGATGGTGACGACACGGCGGCGGATGACAAAAAAGACTGCGTGGATGACGGGGGAGCAGGAGAACAAAGTGGAGGAAGATAAGCACAAGGACGAGAAAAGCATGGAAGGGGACGAGCACGAGGAATAATGAAGCGAAGGAGTGAGAGGACGACGACGGAAGACAGCAAGGAGCATGACGAAAAGGGAACCGAAGAAGGGGGGAGGTCCCCATGATCGTTTGAAGCTGCCCTGGGGGCTGTGGAGCCAGTCTGGAGCAATCTTGGGGGCCACTCCGAGTCCTTTAAGGGCCACCCGGAATCCTTTTGGGGGCGTCGGGGTCTTCTTGGGCGGTCGAAGCGAGGCGTGGGACTGTGTGGCGACTCTCTTAGACCGTCTTGGCACCATCTTGGGCTGTTTTGGGGCTCTCTTGGGCCGGTTGTATATTGGAATACCCTTTTGGAACCCTCCCAGAGCGTTTCCTGGAAGACCTTGGTTCAGGAAGCCCCTCCACGACCGACGTTCGAAGGATGCGTCGATCGAAACAAACATCTCTTAGAAACCTGACCGAACGAGAACGGGAAGCGTCGGTTTTGTCCAACAGGCTTATACAATATATTCAACTTTGCTGGTTTTGCCGTGCAGGTCTATCGTGGCATGCGCGCGTTTGCGCGTGCGTACGCCTGCGTGGAATACGTGCGCGCGCGCCCGTGCGCTCGTGCCCCTTTGGCGCAAGCCGCTGCTCAAACCGCGGCCCCCACCCCTTAGTGCTGCGCGCCACGGTTCCTCATTCCTCACCGGTCCCTCATTCCTCACCAATCGGGCCAAGTGTAGGCCGCCATGGCGCCCCTTGTCAAGGGGCGCGGGAAGGAGTATGTTCGGCTGGCTAGATGACCACACGATCATGTTCACGATGAACCACCCAGGAACGACAATGGCTCTCCAGCAGATACACTGTCCAGCGGCACGCTGAACCCAGCTACGTGGCCCCCCTTCCAGATTTGCACATGGCGTAGCATTGGGTATGAAACCTTTGCGACAACGTCTGGAATGAATGACACCACAAGAGGACTCACCGCAGGCAGTTGTCAGACCAATCCCACATGTCCCACGCACTACCCAAACCTACACGGTTCAACGGCGCCGCGTCGGCATGTGGTTGGCTAACTCACACACTCTGCCCCGGGGGAATGGCAGGCGCGCCGGTGTTCCGAATGGGCGGCGCCCGGGAACCCAGAGCGGCCATCGGCGAGAATGCCAAGGCTACTTTCCACGCACCACTTGGTCGGCCAGTCACCGGACTTCCAGAACAGCATTGGCGAGCTGGCACATCAGAGCACCTTTTGTCCTGCTGCACCGACCAGCGGCACACAGCTTGGCCGCCAGCCTCGGCCAAATCGGTTTGTCTTCTTTCCACCTCGGCTACGGCGACGTCAAAACGCTGGGGCGCCCGCTGTCGAGGCGCGCGACGACCCTCCGGATGCATCTGGTCGCGGATGCACCACATCTTCCGCTGACAGCACATGGCGCGCTGCTCACACGACAAGCAGCGCGCTACGAGTGCACAGCCGGACTCAGAAGGTCTGGCGCGTCGGGCGGATAGTGCAACGTAGGCCTGGAGCCCCAGAGTTGTTCGTTGAATTTCAGACGGGGAACAGAACGCGCTGCAAGCAGCTGCATCGCGCCCCCCCGAATATTCGGCGCATCCCCAGGACCGCACAAGGCCTCGCTGGACCACCCGCGCCGAAGGCCCCACCATCAACACCACCCATGCCGAGAGGGCAGCCACAGCCAGCACAATCGAGCGACCAAATGGCAGCCGATCCCACCCACGGCTTGGGGGCGAACCGCGTGCTGGGGGGGGGGTCGCCCGCGGTCACAATGGCGCAAGGCGCCAAAGCGTTTCTACAGGGACCGCGGCACGCAGTGGGGCGCGGAAAATCTTTCGGACCCACCGTGGGCCCAGTTGAAGGTGCGCGCACGCTGCCACACAACTGGCCCACGTGGACGGAGTCCTTCACTGAAGCGCTTGTCAAGTTCTCCAAATTGGAACACCGGTCGGCCTTGGAGCCTGAGCGAAACTCAGCTCAGTCGGAGAAAGTTCTGCGGGGCTCAGGAGTCATGGTACTTCGAGTACGCCCCTGGAGATGCGACTGCGGCGACGACAAATGAGAATGGTGCGCTCAGCCTCCACCTCTTCGGACAACACCCCTTTCAGAAAGGTGATTGATGAAACCCCTTGTTGGGGCGCAATATCACGCTCTCACCTGGCCCCCAGAGCATCAGCTCAAGCACAAAGCGGTGGAGCACCATAGCGCGACAAATTGGATAAGCAATTCCCACCCTCGCTTCAGTTATACACAACAAATCGCACCACGCCGGCCGCCCCGCACTCCTGAACAGGCCACGTTTTGCCCTCGAGGGGTCTGCGTCTTTCACTGGGCGCGCAACGGCGAGAAACCTATCTGGGCAGACGAGGAAGAGAGGGCCCAGAAGCTCATCCACCCGGATGGAGCGGCAGATGACCAACAGCTCAAGAAGCTTCTGCGCAGCATCATTGGCGTGTTCCGCAATGAGAAGCCCACGGGTTCATGGCTGGGCCAGACGCTACACTCCATGCCCATAATGCTGCGTCTTGGCTTCGCGTCAGAGGCACGCCGACGAGTGAGCGAATCAGCCTACCACATCGCACGCGCGGAGACCTTGCGGCGGGCGGCCTCCAGGACGCCAGAGGAGACGATGCCGCATCTGGAAAAACCTCCTGGCGGCCCCAAACCAATTCCGCATGCACCAGATGGGGGAGGGCGAAAATACTCGACCGATGAGATGCTGGAGCATACTGGGACGGCGTTGCAGCGAGTCGTGGCCGCACCAAAAGAGGCCCTCCTCCAGGGCACCATGGCTGCACATGGGGCCAACTCAAGGCAAATCGGGGCCGCTCTGAGAGTCCGCGCCAACATCATGACGACGGTTGGAGGCCCTCCAGGTACGAGAGAGACCTTTCATTGGGGCAATGGCCGAGGCCTACGCATTAGTTCGGGCCCCCGTTCAGTTGTCTTGATTGTCTGCGCATCGAACGCTGCAGCGGACAATGTAGCCGTCGCCCTGGTCCAAAATCGCGGCACCTTGCCTCTCCCGCTGGGACAAGTGATCCGACTTGGGAGGCCAGAAGCCTGGATTCGCGACGAGGCGAGGGAGCTATGGATACACGGCACCCAGCACACGTGGAAAAATAAGACGACCAGGCAGTCCCCGACCAATCGCTTCGTCAGCGACAACTCGCGGCAGCGAGCACCGTCATACCAACGCTTGAAGCAGCCTGCCAATGGGCAGAGTCCACGCGCGCAAAGATCGTTGATCTTTCCATACAAGACGCGGCGTCACAAGCCATAAAACCTGCCACGGAGACATGGCGCTACAGACCGTGGTACGCAGTGGCTACAGCGTCGTCATCGCTGGCGACCACAAGCAGCTCGGGCCAGTGATCAAGGACGACTTGGCGGCGGCTAGTGGCGCCACGGCGACCCGCTTCTCCGCGGGGCCCGCCCGCGGTCGGCCCTGGCCAAGCTTCAGCGGTGGACCCAGCGGCCGCAGGAAGCCAGCGACCCCGAGGATGCCCCTCTGGCTTCGGGACTCCATCCAGGAGAGCGCGGGGCTCCAGGCCCCGCACGCGGCTGCGCTGCGGCTAGCGCTCCACTTGGCCTTTTCTTCATGCTGAGAGCGCCCGAGTACATCGCCCAGGACCGGAGCTGGAGCATCGACCGCGTTTTTTTGGTTTGGGGGGGTCCATTTTGACCGAACCAGTTTCAAGTGGGCCGCCAAGCGGCCCAACAGACTGAGCACACCAAGAGGCAGCAGGCCACAGAGACATCTCCCGCTGGCGAGAGGACCCCCCCCGGTCCGCGAACGCTCGGCGCTCTTCAATTTGATCCCGACTCATGGCCCGCACTGGGCCCGCCCGAGACCAGAGGAGCGTTGTCCCCCTCCCCTCCGAGGCTGGCCACCGCATTTCGGAGTGCGGACCTGGGATCATGAGGGGAAGACCTGGCCGCTTGCTGGGAGCCATCCTCTCCCTCAAGAACAAAACGGGAAGCCTCCTCCTCGGCTTCGAACATCGAGAACAAAGATTTGGCAGCAGCAGCCTCCGCCTCGAATTCATCGTCAAAGATGTCAGCTCCGAAGGCTGGTGTGCCCAGCACCTCTGGAGACTTACTGACACTATCCCTGCCCGACCCAACCGCCTCCACTGCCGCCCCCCCACCAGCAGCTTCACGAGCTGCAATCCTGGCACGGATGGCCGCCAAACAAGCCAGCGGCGCGGCAGAAGCGACGACCCGCAGTGGCCTGGCGGCTACGTCATACGCCTGGGCCTCCTGTCGGGAAAGTAGGTCCTCCTTCGTGGCACAACTGACAATCCAATCGCGCATGGGATGGAGGCCTCGACGAAGTCTGCGCAAGGCTATCGTGCCCGCGCTGCCTCGCTCGTCGCCACACTGCGGTCGGCTACACGCCTTCGCAAGTTTGTGCACC